CCTCTCTGCAGGGCTGCTCTCCAGAAGGTCAGTCCCCAGCCTGGACTGGTGTCTGAGGTTATTCTTTCCCAGGTGCAGGACCTTGCACTTGGCCTTGTTGAATTGCATGAGGTTTTTCACCGCCCAGTTGTCCAGTCTGTCCAGGTCCCTCTGGATGGCAGCGCAGCCCTCTGGGGTATCAGCTACTCCTCCCAGTTTGGTATCATCAGCAAACTTGCTGAGGGAGCACTCTGTGCCTTCATCCAGGTCATTGATGAATAAATTGAACAGGACTGGACCAAGGACTGACCCCTGGGGGACCCTGCTAGCTACAGGCCTCCAACTAGATTCGGCACCGCTGATCACCACTCTCTGAGCTCTGCCATCCAGCCAATTCCTAATCCACCTCACTGTGCACTCATCTATCCCACACTTCCGGAGCTTGCCCAGGAGGATGTTGTGAGGGACGGTGTCAAAAGCCTTGGTGAAGTTGAGATAGACAAGATCTAGGAAAGTTACCAACTAAGACCAGCTAAGTTGTAAGGCCAGTTAGCTGATTTTACAATATTCCTTTATTTTAGACTATTATCGAATAAGCTTTCAGTAAGAATAATATGAAACTATCAGATAGCCTGAGACCTAAATTACACTGTGAAGCTAGCCAGATAAGTGTCTGAAGAATGCCAACATTCCAGTGCTTACCCTCACATAATTGCTTTCATTCTCTTAAGGATTCCCTGTTTTTCATAGATTAGTAAATATTAGTGCAGTTAAATTTACTTGACTGAAGCTGTATGATGAACAAGTTGTAACACTTCATAACTTAAGTCAATGCTTCCCATGATTGCAATAATGAAAAAATAGCCAAATAGACAAAAACATGGAGCAGAATCTTAGAGTCTTAAGTACCTTGCTTGAACTGAATACAAAGAAGAAGAAGATTTTTTTAAAACACTCATATGAGAGCCATTATTTTAATTCTTTCTATAAAGAAGGGTGGATCTTCACACATTTCTGAATGACTAGCCCCAAATTTACTCCATTGAACATGTTACATTACAATTAATCTTTTTTTTTTCTTTTTTTCTTTGTA